TATTGCACAGGTTATTTGACTAGTGAGTGTCTTGACTGTACTTCGTCACTACTCCACCGAGGTTAGTCTTGATACTTACTGGGTACCGACTGTGGTGTACTCATACTACACTTCTGCATATTTTTGTGCAGAGCCATGTATTGGAGATATCAGATTCGGACATATATTATAGTGTGATAGCAAGGATTCAAGGTATGACTGCTTGGTCGTTGCAGTCCCTTGGAGTCTTTCCATTATATTGTACTGTCAACTCTTATTCGAATATTATTGTATATTCAATCCTTGAGATCAGTGTATGTATTCAATTAGAGTTCATGACTCGGTATTACCAGTCTTGGGAGGTTGTTATAATTATATGTTTTTTTAAAAAAGGCTCGAAATGAAATTGTAATCGGATTACCTAGTCTTAGAGACTAAGTGCCATCACGACGCCGGTGGTGGAATTTTGGGTCGTGACACCTAAGTAGTATCTATGAGCGTGCATTGCACATTAATAATGACACGTGATGGTTTAAATATTTATTTATATGAAGGAACAATAAAATTTAATTAATGAGAGAAATTTTATGTATAATAATACAACAATCATTTAAATACTAAAAAATATTATTACATTATCATAATACGTGAATTCAAATTGAAATGACATCATCAAAACTTACACAAATGATCAATTTACTAATATTAGTTAGATAATTATGCATCATAGTTTAAAAGTATTTAATATGACGATATCTTACCGAGCACTTCTTTGTAGATGATGTTTTTTTGTGTATGGTTCCTTCTATTGTTTTGGCTACTCTGCCATAATCAGAACTCTTATTGTCGATATTGATATCCCTCTTGAAAGTGCAACATATAATTGTTCGTACAAGAAAAAATATTTTGCGGTAAATATAGTCCAATATTTGTTATGTTTGTCTTTGAGCTTTATTTATTATTACAATTGCAAAACATAAACATACTAAAAATTATTTTCACACAAATTTAAAAGGTTATTCTTTAGTTTCAGAAGATGAAAGTTGAATTCAATGATAAAAATATACTTAGAAGTATTGAGTAGTATCATAATTTTTTGCATGTATGACGTTATTGTCAAAATTTCTATATACCATATGTATGCTATTACATAAGCTATTTGTCATAAGTTTTTCAATAGCATGACATGCATATTTTTCTTCGTAATCAACCGGTATGCAATGGAAGATCAATTTTAACTTAGTCTATTATATATACGGTGACACTAACATATGTAAGAAATAATAAGCTTGACAACAAATATGTATGGTAGAAGGCCATTTGGTATTAAAGTATTTAAGTATTTTTCTTGATAGTAATTGTTGGTATCATCTTTTACTAAGTCAAAAATTAAAAAATATTTTGTTTTTACCGCAAAATTTTGCAATCAACCTTTAATTTAGTTGATCAACATATTCATTTTTGCTAGCTAAGATGGATTTTTAATTTCTATTATACAACTTGCACAAATTGCATTTTAATCTAATTATGAAAATATTTCCCTTTTTAAATGCATTATTACTGCCATTGGGGTTGATAACCAAGTGTTCTGGAAGAATCGAATCATTTTTTATATCCGACATGAAGCAATAAATCACTGAATACTGGATATATTCTTACTTTATATTTCTTCTCAGTTGAATCTTTTTCATTTGAGACCATAAGTATAATTTTGACAAGCTAGCTTTTACAGTCTCTACTTTGGTCGATTTTGGAACTACTGGCAGTACTTGACATAAATCACCTTCCAAACCATTAATTTTTCACCAAGTTGTTCATTGATATCCAATTTATCTCTAGAACTCCGAGCAATTGTTTCGATCGTTTGACACTTCTCCATAAGCGCTTCATCTCATATTATCAATTTTTCTTATAAATTTATCATTATTGCTCTGCTTTGATATATTTGTGAAGGTTATTTCAGTTATTTGAAGAGGTGTATCAAATATAAAGTGAGTGGTCTCATGATAAATCGTTGTTGCTTGTTGGTACACCACTTGTTATTATTGCTGACAGTATTATGCCTCTTGATCTGACATTTGCAAGTAATTGACACAAAATATATTTCGATTCCATCGAATGCATCTACAAAGGATAATTCCGCTATACCAGAGTCGACTCCTTATAATATAGTCTTGAAAGATTGTTCTTGTTCAGGATTTAGTTTTGATTGTGCTTCTTCAGTTACTTGTATGGTCTTTTAATTCTTAATACTATACTAACCTTTTTTACTTTGTGTTCTAATATTTTTAATCTTTAACGCTCTTTTTATGGAATAAATCTATGTACCCTAAGATTTTTTTAACTTAAAAAATAATTTTACTCATATGATGAATTTAAACAATAATTGAATTGGATTATTTAGCTAAATAATTAATTGAAAGAATTAATTATTTGGTCTTAACATAAAAAATAATTTATTTTTTGTTGATTCAAATTCTTAATATTAGTTCATCTTTTGTTTTGAATATTTAATCTTAATTATAATTTTATCCTCACATGAATTTTATTTTCAAAGAGTAAAAATATTGATTTAACGTTCCACTTTTAGGGCTTTATATATACATAATCATTAGTGGTATTAATTCTTATCATCCATTTTTCTTTCTTTTTCTCACACATTTATATTCTTAAATATTTTCTTAGTTGTTGTTTAATAATTGGGTATATTTTTTAATATTACACGAAAAATTGATTAAAAAAATAGTATTTGAGTAGGAAAATAGTTCAAAAATAAGATAAAAATATATTATCACGGGGATATTTTTGTCTCAATTTACACGCCTTTTGCAGTTCATTTAACATTACTTTTATTGTTTCGTGGTATTGGACATTATGGAGTGGTAATGTATTTCCAACACGGAGGATTCTTATGAAATTGATTTTATTAAACCTTCATGCATATTGTTAATAAGAATTTAATAGAGAAAAAATTATTAATTTTAAAATTTTATATATTAAAAAAATTAACATAGAAGGTATTATAGTCCAAAAAAATAAGTTATTACAATTATGTCCTTTCCCTATGAGTTCTTCTGTTTAATATTTTAAGGCAATTTTGGTCTATCAATATTGTATTCGTGCTATAATATATAGGCTCTCCTTTTCTAAAAATTAGTAATAGAATTTTTTAAGAAGTATATCCTAAAAGTAATAGGATTACATGACTAAAAATATGTGTCTATCCTGAAAGTAATTATACTAAAAGGAAACTCAGCGTGTTCCTAAAGGTATTAGGTTTACAAGATAACATGTGATATTATATGTCTATGCCCGAAATTAATTATATTAATAGTATTCCTAAAGGTAATCATGTATGATTCATAATATGTATTATTATATCCTAAAATTAATAGTATTACAAGACTAATATCTAAAATTCTAGTTATATTATTTTATTGTGAGTTATTATACTTAATATTATAAGATAGAAATATAGATTTAACGCACAAGGCTAAAAGCCATGCGCTAAGTTCAGCTCCCAAAAAAGGAAAAAACAAGTAAAGGTCAGAAGCCGGAACTGTCAACCGTTCACGCATTTACGCACAAAATTCTCTGCATCTTTCCGCCTCATGACTAAACAGCGCCACTTACTATAATTTATTCAACGAAAAATGGTTAAAATTGTTCTCAAACTATCGAAAATAGTTCAAATATACCCTCCGTTTATTTTTTGTATTAAATTTATCCTCGTCGTCTAAAAATTGGACCATTATTACCCTAAAACTAACGGTTGCCACATCAGCTTTTGGACATACTTAAATATTACAGGAAAAGGGTCAAAATTGCCCTCAAACTATCGAAAATAGCTCAATTATATCCTCAGTTTTGTGTTTGGTACCAAATATGTACTTGACGTCTAAAAATTGGACCATTACTGCCCTAAAAACTAACGGTCGTCACATAAGCTCATGTGAACAACAAAAGTCTATCTCCAACAGACTGTCTTCCATCTTGACAAAAGCCCCCACGAATAAAATTTCTTTCTCCATTTTCATTCGTTGACTCATCGAAGTGTTGCTCCTTCCAAATAATTAAAGTAACACCAATCTTATTATGAGAAATTTAATTGGGCTATTATTAAGATTCACAAATCTATAAAAAAAAAAAAATCAATATACTATACAAGAAATAAAATACCAACTTTTATCACTTAAAATCATAAATCTTATCACAAAAATAGTGGAGAACAACAAAAGCTGTATATTGCACTACTCTTATGGCTAGCTATCCAAGCTCATATCTCAAAAAGGTCACATATCAGTTGCAGAGATATATCCTTTTAAAAACAACTCTCATAAAAAACTCGAAAACCATTAGAATGAAACCATCCTCTAAAATACTAAACCCTTCCACTTCCAGCCTTCATCAACAGAAAAGAAAAGAAGACCGACCGCAAATAAGACCTAGACCCAAAACCTCATACAAAGATACATTTTTTAGATACCACCTAATCCTTCCCCTTCTCACCGGCCTAGCTAGCAGGCCACCTGAAGTGCTTCACTACGCCTTCACAAGAAATACAACAACCTCGCAGAAAATGGAGAAATTTTTTTTATTCGTGGGGACTTTTGTCAAAATGGAGGACCGTCTGTTGGAGATAGACTTTTTTTGTTCACATGAGCTTATGTGACGACCGTTAGTTTTTAGGGCAATAATTGTCTAATTTTTAGACGTCAAGGACATATTTGGTACCAAATACAAAACGGAGGATATAATTGAGCTATTTTCGATAGTTTCAGGGTAATTTTGACCATTTTCCCATAATATTTAAGTATGTCCAAAAACTGATGTGACAACCGTTAGTTTTAGAGTAATAATGGTCTAATTTTTAGACGGCAAGGACAAACTTGGTACCAAAAATAAACGGAGGGTATATTTGAGCTATTTTCGATAGTTTGAGTACGATTTTGACCCTTTTCCGTTTATTCAAATAAAGCCAGCATCTCTGCTTTAATAGTTGTTTACCCCACAAAATTTCACAAAATATTGCAATTACGCCCTCGAAAACTGAACATCCATTATCTCCTTCATCTTTCTCTGTGAGAAAAAATTTAAAGAGAGAAAGTGATTTAAGGTGAGAAACTGCACTGCTACAGTATAATGGCAGTTGCTAGGATTTTTGTAAATTGAACATTTTCTCTATGGAAGTTTCTGGTAGACGATCGAATTATACTTTGTTGAATCAAATTCCTGACGATAATTTTGTCCAGCCGCCACCGCCGAAGTTCTCCGCCGGAGCTGACTTGATTGAGGACCGCATGATGCAATCACAGAGCCGGGTCGGATCATTGCAGTTACCCGGTTCGGGAGGGTCGCATAGGCAATCAAGTGAAGGCAGCTTCGGTGGTAGCTCGATCTCCGGGGAGTACTACGCGGAGACTTCCTTTGGGCTTAGAAATGATGGCTGCGGCTCGTCGGCGGCGGCAAGGAGTTGGGCGCTGCAGACGGAGGAGAGTTACCAGCTGCAGTTAGCGTTGGCAATACGGCTCTCTTCAGAAGCAACCTGTGCTGATAATCCAAACTTCTTAGGTCCTGCGGCCGACGAATCAGCATCCCAAGATTCAGATTCTTCTGCATCAGCGGAAACAATGTCACATCGATTGTGGGTAAGATGTTTATTGCTTTAGAAATCCTTTGACCATTTCGTAATGGTAAACGAGAGAAATAACAGGAGTTGGTTTAGATTACAAATGCCTTATGCTATAATGTAGTAGCTGATTAAGTGGTGGATTATGAGGGAATCTAACAGTCCAACCCAAAACTTTGAGATAATGGGTGAAATGGTCCAAGACCTTTATAAACTTATTTGAAAGCCCTTACATAATCACGCAGAGCAATAATATGTGACTCAATCATCCTTTTTTCTGGTTTACACGTGAGCTTTAATATGGACATATGGGTGTGAGAATGGGCGTTCCTCTAATACTATCTGAAAGAATCTGATCATCCAACCTAAATCCTTTTTGATATTGAATGGAGTGACTCAAGACCTTTTGTGAACTTTTTTGGAAGTCCTTAGACAAACTTATGAAGAACCACAATATAACTCAACTTAGGATTTGGTTTAGACTACAATTGTCTCCACGCATTAAAGTTGGTGATTAAGCGGGTAGTTGAACACTCCATCACCAAATGAACGAATTATTCAATGATTATTTAGACACTTCAACTCGCCTCCAGTGTGTCTCGTGGACACTCGAAGCCACCAGACCAGATGTGTGCATTACAATCGCCAATGACATGCAAATGAGTGAATTATACAATGACATGTGTTGTTAGTGAATATTTTTTTGAAACATGTAATTAAAAAAAAAGAATACAAGAAAAAATCTCTTTTTCTTATTTTAACCATAACAGCAACCCCCCATCTCCATTCTTCTTCTTCCTTCCTCCTCCCCTTCCACCCCCTTTTCAATTGGTAGAACACCCAATTGTTAATTATTGGTAGCTCTGTTAATGTATTGTGTTCTTGGAGAGGATGGGAAAATCGATGAGGAGATTTTAAAGATTTTGCGGCTGATTTCATGGTGTTCTCAGGTGACATTCATGGTGGAATCGCGATGGTGCATGGTGGAACGATGGTAGAGAGAGGTGGTTGAAAGGGTGGTTTAAGGAGTAGAAGAAGAAGAATTGTGAGGAAGAGGGTGATAATGCGAGACCCAAAATGGTGGGATCTATGTGTATTGTGTCTAAAATGGTGAGTTCTCCTTTTTTAATGGTGAATGGGAAATTGAATAAGAAGAAGTGTTGAGGAAAAGGGTGAAAACACGAGATCCACATAATTAAAAAAAAGAAGATTAAAACACAAAATTTAAAGATTCACGCGCTAAAATTTTGTTTAAAAGACAAACATTTTGCCATGTTAGCGCCGACTGTCTATTTTACCATGTCTAGCACCGGGTGTCCACAACACATTGGGGGAAAGTTGAGGTGTCTAAATGATCATTTGGTAAGTTGGAGTGTTCAACTGACAGTTGGGGCCAACTTTAAGTGTCTATTTATATATTTTGCCTTTTTCTTAACATGGTATTAGAAAAGACCCATCCCTTATGTCGAGTAACCCAATGTTGGACCCGTAGTTATGTTATCCACGCTCCAAGTGTCTAACTCTAGGCATGAGGGAATGTTAGAATTCCATATTGGTTGAGACTTGAGAGTATGGCTGAACTGCGGGGGTCTTAGAGCTCTATATAATTGTGTTGAAGTGTATGACCATCTCATCTAAAAGCTTAAGCTGTTAGAGGTAACATACTTTTATTTTTTTAGTTATGTCTTCAACACGCATCCCCACGTGCGGGCCTCATTCTTTTCCATGGACCAGGTGCTTGAAAATTCTTTTTTTGATAATGGATGGCGGTGAGACTCAAACTCAGGACCTCGCCCTGCTGTTATACCATATTGAAGTGTGTGACCATCTTATCTAAAAACTTAAGCTAGAGAGAGCACATTTTTATTTTCTTGATAATGTATTCAACAGATTGAAAGTATAGATTGTAGTCTATTTATATTGTTTTAGACCAGCCTAACCGCGCAAACTAGGTTTTGGGATTGAGTTAGGCTTAATGTCCATTTTGTTTTAACTTCCTTTCCCAAGCTTAGTAGTTCTGCTCGCTTCAACTTTGTTTTTCTCCTATGTTTCAAACTTAAGTATCAAACTAATATGGAGGTTGAGAATAAATGGGTGCTTTTGACAAGCGAAGGATGGAGTCTTTCTTTGTGTAGATCTCTTCTCATTCTCAATCGACACGCTTATTCTGTCCATATTTTCCAGGTCATCATTCCTAAAGACATCTTTTTGCTGTCTTTATTCTATGCCAGATAAATGGATGCTTATCGTACTTTGACAAAGTCCCTGATGGATTTTATTGGATATATGGGATGGATCCATATGTCTGGACTGTCTGCTCAGTTCTGCAAGAAAGCGGCCGTATTCCATCAATTGAATCATTGAAGGCAGTGGATCCCACTGTAGCACCATCTGTTGAAGTGATTTTAATTGATCGGTGTAACGATCCCAGCTTGAAGGAACTGCAGATTGGAATTCTTAGCATGTCCGCTAGTTGCATCAGCGTAGAAGAAGTTGTTGATCAGCTTGCCAAGCTTGTCTGTGATCATATGGGGTGAGTACTACAAGCTTTTTCTCAGAAGCTCCAACAGACACACTTTTTCTGTTTTTCTTTTTGTAATTAGCTTTATTCCCTTTACAAGGGGTGCAGCTCCTGCTGGAGAAGATGACTTGGTTTCCATGTCGAAGGAGCGCAGTGATGAGCTCAAGGATTGTCTAGGAACTATCGTGCTTCCAATTGGTAGCCTGTCAGTTGGGATTTGCAGGCACCGAGCGTTGCTTTTTAAAGTATGTTAAACCTGTTTAGTTGGTGCTGTTATAAGTCAGTAGATCTAAATTCTAAGGAATTTAAGGATAATAATCAGACTAACGGTATATTTTATCACCAAAATAGAAAAACCTTATGGATAGAGTGTGTGTGTGTATTTTATTTTTTCTGCCGTCAGTGTGAAATATGGCCTGTATAAGGTTGATGTTTTGTCGTTAACTTCAATGTGATCATTACAGGTGCTAGCTGACATAATTGATTTACCATGTCGAATTGCCAAGGGATGTAAATATTGTAACAGATCCGATGCTTCCTCATGTCTAGTTCGATTAGGACTTGACAGGTAAAAGTTCAGAATAAATATAGTTTATGTTATCGTCTTTACTTCGTTTGAAAATGTTCGTACTAGGATAGAAAAAGGGGAAGAACACTCTGATTCATCTTTTGTATTCCTCTCTGCTAGATAAGTATAGTTTCGGGGATGGTGTGTCTTTTAGATGTTGAAGCCTTAACAGATGTAATAAATGCTGCCACTTACTTTTTGTTTGGAAAACAATTATCCCTCATTTATTGTGTATGATATGATCAATATTTACTTTCCTATTGCTATTACACATCTGTTGATAACATTATGGAAATGATTTGTGCCTATTGGTTGTACTGGTTACAACTCTTTTACCTGGTATTTTATTTATGATATGCTCAACTTTAATTTTTTCTTAACGCTACTGGTTTATGTGTTCTTCGATTACGTAAGCTGGTGAAGAACAAGAAGTTCAAAATCTAATACACTTGTCAAAAGAAACAGTTCAAAATATATATATGTATTCAGAAAATTGACTATGGCGAATTTTCTTATTGTATTATGTGAATTTTTATGACTATGGCGAATTTTCTTATTGAATATGTGAACTTTCCGATGCGATAAAACAGATCTTTAAAGATTCAAGTCACTACTTTTAGTTTATGAACTAAATAAACCTAGCAGGAATTTGCTTCTCTTAGTACCTGCTATACCAAACTTAGAGACTTTTTTTGTTTTGTTGAGAAGGTCAAAACTTAGAGATTTTGGAATTAAGATATGTGAGTTGAATGGTAATTCTTTATTAATATGCTGAGATTGAAAAAAAAAGTTCAAAAAACTGACCCCCATTGTCCACGAGATAGGTAATGTACCTTAATTTCTCATACAGTCTTAATAGCTCAGATTCTGATTTCATGATCCCATCCTTTTCTTCTTCCGCTCAGCTCCAAAATGCAGAGAAAAAGAACCAAAGTGCTAAAACTAGAAGCAAGCAGAATCAGATATCCAAGGCAGATGGTTTAGTGAATGACAGGAAATTATTGCTGTCACTGCTACTTTAAGTTGGGATTAGCTTAGTAATTAATGATATGCCTGTCGTCTTCATCTGTTGAACTATTATTCTTGATTCAGTTTATATGATGGATATATATTAGTCTTAAATATGCTAAACATTTGTGCGCTATTTGGATAGTCTCATATTAGGAAGGAGTGCTACTACTGACATGTAACTCTTGACCATACAGGGAGTACCTGGTTGATTTGGTCGGTAAGCCAGGAGTTTTATGCGAACCAGATTCCTTGATCAATGGTCCATCTTCCATCTCAATTCCTTCACCTTTGCGCTTTCCGAGATACAGACAAGTTGAACCTACAATTGATTTCAGGTCACTGGCCAAACAGTATTTCTTGGATAGTCAATCACTTAATCTACTGTTTGATGATTCTTCAGCTGGTGATTTTCTAACTCTTACCTGCTTAAACACATGCATTTTTGGTGTTCATTTTGTTTGTTTTGAATATTTTTGTAAAGTCGTTTTGTTTGTTTTGAATTATCTAACTCTTTCCCGACATGTAACTTGGCCTTTGCCATGATGTATTGAGAGACGTTCAGTTCCTTAACCAAATTTAAGATGGCTCCTGTCTAGTATGCTGCGTCCACCAAATACCCACTTGTGCCAAATTTCTTTTCATTGGATAAAAAAGAGTCTGGGATCTGATAATCTGTCAAACTTATTAGTGTCTCCTGAAAACTTTGGCGGTATATTTTGTTATTTGTCTTACTTGAATGGAGTATACTTTCAGCTTGCCTGTAACTATATTCAATGCTGTAATAACCTAAAACATAATTGAATACATGATTTCATTGGCAATCCAGAGTTCACTGGTGCTTCCATGCATTATCTACTCTTTAAATGACATAACACAGGATTGAAGACAATATATTGTTTATTTGTGTATATTGTTCCAGAGACTAATTGGCATTTCATTTTATAAAGTACATACCTTTCCATTTGGATCTGTATTGGCCATAACACAGACCTTTTCTGTCTCATCAAGATTCCCCTGCGATTTTGTCAAGATTACACTAAATCCCTCTTGTAGGAATGGAACTTGAACCTTGTTCATAGTCAAATAGGCTAGCAACCTTTGTTTTCCCCCTGAATACATGTTTATTTCTGTAGGTAGCCAATTTAAGTTAAACCCAATGGAGATGCTTTTGCTTGCATCCTTGCTCCCTCACAGCCTACTGTTTTTTTTTCCCTTTATCTGCCAGTACATCGCCAAGACTTCTATAACTGTGAGTAATCAGCAAAGTCCAAAGCAAGATATTTATGTGGTTTAGAGTGCCAAGCTTGGCCACTTATTTGGTACCAAAATGCCTCCTGTCTGTACCATAGTTTTTAATTTCGACATTCCATCTTCTTGCCATCTATTCTGTTCTTCATTTGTTTCTTTAATTTATTCTCTGGTTTAGGTAATGTGATTAAAAGGCTTGATACTAGCTCCGCTTGTTAAGTTTCGATGTTGATATTTGATTTTTCGGAATGATTATTTTTAATAGTACCCACACCCACCCATACATTATATGTGTGTGTGTACATTTGATTAAAAAGCTTGATTTAACTTCAAATATCAATTTAAGGTGTTGACATTTGAGTCTTCTGGAGATTGAATTGTTTTTTTATATAGATGGATGTATATTTATTTTAGATAAGGTAAATGATTTTATTGATTTGGGAAAACTCCCGTATACAAGTAGTATACCCAACAGTAAAAAGCCTTCACAAAAATATAAATGTCTACAAATAACTCCAATCTCATATAAAAACAGGGATCTCATGGGTGCACCAAAAGCTAAAGTAGTAGGCTATTTCTTAAATGTACAGAAGCTCTCCTATTTTTCTCTTTACGCAGGACCCACATGATGGGTATTGGGCAAAATCCCATGCCCTATGTCTTCTCGTTTATTCTTCTAAAGGCTTCACTAAGCTTGGCATGGTCGACTGCACCCCGAACTAGTTCCAGACAGCCTATAATTGTGAATCCACCCGACAATACAACAACAGGGGATGATCCACATCTTTGCTTGAACGTCTGCACATAAAGCACTAGCTAACATATGTAATCCTCTTCTTCCGCAAGTTTTCATCCGTCGAAATTTCCCAATTGCTGCCAAACAAGCAAAGAAGCACCTTTTAATCCAAACCGATACATGCGGGAAGCCTGTCCTTCCTCACCAAAGCTTGTGGTAGTATGACTTTAATTAGAAAATTCCATCTCCCGCTCCCCACCTCTATGAGTCCTGTCTAGTGAGTGTTGGGTTTTGTTTGTTAAGCATCCTTGGAAATTCATCCGCATATATACATGTATATTTATATACTTAGCTATTTTTGGATCGCAATATTTCTTCCTTTTGGTTTGGGGTGGGGTTGTGGGTGGGTTTGGGGGGGGGTACAACCTAAAATTAGAATAGGCAAAGACAAATTAATAACATTAGTGTCTCTAGTCTCCACCTGTCATAACTAGGAAAGTAAGTATGAATTATTTCTCTTCCTTGTGCAAATAAATATTATTCCCTTTATCCCATTTTATGTGGCACACATTTCTTTTTAGTTTGTCCCAAAAAGAGTGGCACCATTCTATATTTTGAGACAATTTAACATTAAATTTCCTATTTTCCCGATGATTTATAGCCGCGCAAATGTCTATGGCTTGTTTTAGACCACAAGTTTCAAAAGTCTTCATTTATCTGCTAAGCTCCGAGCCAAATCAAACAATGCTACATAAATTGGGATGGAGGGAGTACTATTTTGTTTATGGACAATTTCTCTTCAGTTTTGTTAGTGAATACCAGATCCCTCAAGTCCTGTTTCAGGGATTCATAACAATTAGCATTTGGCGCAGGATCTGCAGCTGATGGAGATGCAGGACAATCAAACAGAAGTTGCATGGATAGAAACAATGCAGTCCCTAGTTCAAGTAACCGTGATGCAATTTCTCGGCTACCTCTGCCTCCATCAAATGCATGGAAAAAGGGGCGTGATAAAGAATCTCAACTTTCCAAAATGTATAATCCTTCAAGTATGTTAAACTCAATGAACGTGGACAAGGACCTGGTTCCTGTGAAGCATGTCCCCCCATCAGGGGAAGATGTTCAACCACTGATGGCATTGTCTCACCCAAGAGCAGATACAATAAATGATGGAGAACTTCTTAGTGATGTAGAAGAGTTCAATATTCCATGGAATGATCTGGTTCTGAAGGAGAGAATTGGGGCAGGTAATCTGTCTCTGCTTGTTTCTAGCCACTTGGATAGTGGTCGGATGTTTGTTTTTCCTATTGAAGGGTGCATGTTATATTGGTATTCTATAGTACCATAAAATTTCTTGTTTTTCCTATTGAAGGGTGCATGTTATATTGGTATTCTATAGTACCATAACATTTCTTGTTTGTTTTAGCTAACACCGTTTGTCGATTTTCAGGGTCTTTTGGTACTGTTCATCGTGCTGATTGGGATGGCTCTGTAAGATACTTGTCTATGTAGATCTTAGTTTTTGAAAGTCTTCTATCTGGAAAAAATCTAACGTATCTCTCACTTCAGAGATTCATTTATGCAATGTAAATTTGTTTCTCTCTATTGTTCTTTTATTGGGGGGAAACCATATCTCTGTTGTGGTTTAAACAAGCCAACAAGGTAGCACTCAAGCTCCCTCCCAAATGCTTTTTACTGACTCTTTTTTTTCTCCAGATTTTGTCGTTTTTATTTTGGGGAGGAGGGGTAGTATTTTGTATGTCCATTGGAGATAAAAATATCTGAAGCTGCTATTTTCGTTGACTTTGTTCCTTCCTGATTGCGTCTCATGGAAGTTTGTATCATTTAGGACGTTGCTGTGAAGATTCTCATGGAACAAAATTTTCATGCGGAGGGATTCAATGAATTTTTGCGGGAGGTAAGTCTGGGCCTTCTCCCCCATCTTCCAACTAGCAATTAGGAAGAACAAGAGACAGACCAGGATGCGTGGAGATTGAGGATCAGTGAACATCAGTTTTATTTAATTGTTTTCCCTTCTACACTCTTCTAATTCTGTTTTCTCTTTGGTTGTCCTAGGTTGCAATAATGAAGCGGTTGCGACATCCAAATATTGTACTTTTTATGGGTGCTGTCATTCAGCCACCAAATTTGTCCATAGTTACTGAATATTTATCGAGGTCTTAGAAATATTTTCCCGTCCAATTAACAGAAAACATTACGCTATTCCCAATTTAGCTGAGCGATTCCCATGTTATCATGTATTTCAGAGGTAGCTTATATAGACTTCTTCATAGACCTGGTGCGAGAGAGTTGTTAGATGAAAGACGTCGGCTGTGTATGGCTTACGATGTGGTATGGATAAATGTGTCCTACTCCCTCCTCTTTCTCATTTTATTTTTTCAATTGGGGCTAATCTCTTACTATGGTCTTGTGCAGGCAAATGGGATGAATTATCTTCACAAACGCAATCCTCCCATTGTTCACCGAGATTTAAAATCTCCAAATCTGCTAGTGGACAAAAAATATACAGTGAAGGTGAGAGTAAGAATTTCTTTAGCAAACATAAAGGTGCAATCCTTTTTGTCATGATTAATATATTGTCGGACTTGGCTGTCAGAGTAGTCAAATCTGAAGGAAGTATCATTTTGGATAGGGCATATTTTTTTATTAACTTCTTCAGATATTTTCCGGAGGGTCAAGAGAGAAACATAGAGAAGTTTTATAGTTTCACAAGCTTCCTAACCTAATCAAACTTGCTAAAACACATAAGGCAAGTGGTGAACCAGCAAGTATTTATCAGATTTCTCAGATGATGGAGAGTTAACGTTGCAATCCCATGAAATGGGTTAATTTCCAACAAGAGAGGATATATGTTGAAGCTTTTATCTAAAGGGAAAAATCACTTGTACATAATTAATAATTTTACATTTTGGAGGGAAGCTTGGTCCAAAATCTCTCTTTGCGATCTTCTAGACATATACCATCTATAGAGTGGTTTTTCAGCTGCCATGTAGCAATAGTGCTGCATTCAGTCCACCTTACATATCATAAACACACGTGGATCCAGTGTTTCAAGAAATTTAGGAGTCACTATGAGGACGAATTTATGTCTAGTTAAGATTATGCTTTTTCTACTCATGTTTTTCCTTAACATAACTTGTCCTCCTTTTCGACCTCCTAGTGAATTAGTTTCTTTTTAACTGGAAATATTAGCATAGATGTGTCTCCTCTCACTCCGGAAATATGTGTCTGGTCTTCTTCCTTTTAATCAACTTGGACCATCGAGAAAAACACTAATTTCTTGATCATTCAATTTGACTTTTCAAACCCAACCAAAAAAGATTTTAAAAAAAATATCAAAAGGTCTTGAGGTCTGATTGAGAATTTGCTTGAAAAAGAGGAGGCATTTTGAATGTCTGTGATTTTTAAGGAGGTTCTGTCCTCCATAGCTCAGCAGTATGCATAATGTATTACCTGTACTTTTAGTTAACATTATAATTTATTCTTAAGTTCTGAACAAACTTGGTAGTCCTACTCAAAGTTAGCTAGCGAATATGATTTTGTTGCTTTAATGAATTTATTATTACTTATTTTCGTTTATGGAAGTTTTTATGAAGCTATTATTTCTCTTTATCAGTAAAAGATTCTAAATGTTCTCACTTGTCTAATGTCCTCATCAGGTCTGTGATTTTGGTCTTTCTCGTTTCAAAGCTAATACATTTCTTTCATCAAAGACTGCTGCCGGAACTGTAAGTTCTTGATTCAAGCTCTGGTTCCTTTAGTGTTCTGTTGGTCTTTTGGCTCGTTTCTTGATAACTAAATAAGGAAAAGAATGATTTGGTGCTTAATGTGACAGCCGGAATGGATGGCGCCTGAAGTTCTTCGTGATGAACCATCAAATGAGAAATCTGATGTATACAGCTTTGGCGTTATTTTATGGGAGTTGGCAACACTACAACAACCATGGAGTAATTTGAGCGCACCACAGGTTTGNGCCGGAATGGATGGCGCCTGAAGTTCTTCGTGATGAACCATCAAATGAGAAATCTGATGTATACAGCTTTGGCGTTAT